GACATGCATGAGAATGGTCACTGAATCATTATTTGCAGTAGCTCAAAGCCAGAAAGCCTAACTCGCTATTTATAGTAGAATAGATCAATAAGCTGTTTATTCGTCCAAAGGAATGCTGTACGATGAAAAGTGATGGCTGCACACATGAATGAATCTCACACAGAAGTGGCTGAAAGACAAGTAGTATATACTCTGTGATTCTGATTATGTTGAGATAAAATCAGAAAGCATAAATCTTATTTTGTTGGAAGCCAGGGTAGTGGTTGCCTGAAGGATGGAGGGAATCATGACTGACAGGGTACATGAAATAATTTCTGGTCATTTTTATCTACATTCTGGTTACATGGGTGTGTTAACTTCGGGGTAATTCCTTGGACCTGTATACTTACCATTTGTTACTATTTGTGTATTTTTTCATGTGTATTATGTGTCAATTAAGAAAACTTTTTTAAAAGCCAGTGTGGCTGACCTGAATGCAAGTGGGGAAAGTAGAGAATTGTAAATTCCAAGATCAGGGAGCTAGAAAGGGCTCAGGCCATGGCCTTATCAGCCACGAAGAGTAATTTTGGTAATATTGTATTGGGAAGTTACTGGAGAATTTTGGGCAGGAGAAAACCTTAACCAATATACACTTAATAATCTTACTTGGCTGCTGTGTAGAGAATAGACTGTGGCAAGAACGGAAGCAAGAGCGCCAAGCCCAGGCAGGAGGTCCTAGTGACTTCAGTTAGGGTCGTGACAGTGGAGATGGGAACCGTGGACCGATCCAAAGTATATTTTGGGGTCAGAGCTATAAAGACCAGTTCATAGGTTAGATTAAGAAATTAGAAAGAGGATGATGCTGAGGTTTTTGGCCTGAGAAGCTGGGTGAGTGGTGGTGGTATTTACCGAGGGAGTAGCACATTTAAGGAGGTATCAAGAGATTTACTTCTGATGTCTGAACATTGAGAAAAGTACTAGATGTTTAAGTGGAGACATTAAATAGGCAGCTAGATGTAAAATTCTAGAGAAATCAGGATGGCGAAATGATTTTTAAATCTTTAATGTTATGGTGCTTGAGTTCGTGGGCTCTTGGAAGGCATCAGGCGGGAAGAGAATCCGGAGTGAACCGAGTGCAGGTGAGTGGAGTAGAGGGATGACCCCGATCATTGGTGGGGGCAGGTCGCGTCTGTGTGTCAGGGAGAAGAGAAAGAGCAACTCCTGTGACGGAAGGAAGACCAGGCAAGTAGGTGTCTCAAAGTCATGTGTTTCCTGAAGTGGGGACGAGGCAGCTCCGCCGCATGCTGTGAGATGCCCAGTTTAGATGAGCGGAGATTCGAGTAGTGGGTTCAGCGGGATGCAGGGGGAGAGTGTTTGAGGAGAGTTAGGAATTAGAATGACATCTTACATTTGGGGAATGAGTTTGCACAGTGTAACCATTAATAGAATAAAATTGAAGACTTTGAAGGCTTTTTCGTCTAGCAAAGGGTACCAGCTCAGATTAATGGTTAAAAAGTGTGTAACAGTAAATTTTGGAAGTTCCAAGGGGGACTTATTGTAAACAATCTATAGTGGGTTCTTTTATATAAGATGCAAAAATTAGCTCTGAATCTGCCGCAGAGTTCCTACATCCTTTTCAGTGCTGATCAGCATTTATATTCTTAGTACCTCCAAGGGCAGTGGCTAGCATTTTTTCCAGCCTTCCTCCTAATTAAAAGGTCTTTAAAATTGGCTCTTAATGGTACTTGTGTCAAGTATCTCTTATTCTGAAAGCTCATTATTAATAAGTTCTTTCTAAAATCTTAGAGTCTTTGATTTCATTCATTTTATCAGTTCTGGGTGAAACAAAATGTATTATGTAATACAAGATAACTGAATCTGTAGTTTCTACGTCAAAAAATACGGGGCTCGTAAGTTTCTTTGTCTTTTGATTTCAGGAGGTAGATAAAGCTGGGCTGTTAAATGGTTCTCTTGCTGGACAAGGGATGCTTCAGAAGATGTGGTGGAGGGGCTGGTCCGGAAGCGCAGTGTCAGCAGGACGAGGCGCACGGGCAGCTTATGTTGTGTGACACTGGGGCGTGACAGGATGTAGGTCTGGTTCTAACTGAAAACGTAGCAAGAGACTTTAATAACTAGAAAGAGCACAGACTCAACCAGATCCAGGAAAGAGAACGGAGCAGCTATCAGGTGCAGAGATGAAATGGGAATCCACAGACAAAAATCGGCGGCATTGCTAGACGTCTGAAAACTGAACTACGAGCTATGTCTGCTGCTTCCTGTAGGCTTGCTTTGTCCTCAGTGCTGTGTGCGCCGGATGCAGCCTTCTCGGTGTATTCGCCGTCACTGTGTGTAACTGCTGCTCTAGCTTGGCGGTCATGTCTTTTTCAGTTCAGATTTCAAATGAGCTTTAAACGTTGGCTGTCGTCAACTCGCAGCAGCCCACCGTGTTTTAGTTTAAATACCTTAGAGTGAGAACCTTGCCTAGTGCACTTTTCGTTCTCTCCCTTTGTTCCCTGCGCCTTACAGTTCCGGTTAGCCTCGATCGGCTGCCCTTCGGTGCCCATCCCTAGCTCAGCCACTGCTCAGGGAAGGGCGAAGTCTTTGGTTATATATAGGGCAATGATAGGGCAGACAGTGGCCTTCTCTCGTATGTCTTCCTTACTTTAAAATTATATGATTAGGGGCGCTTGGGTGGCTCAGAGGGTTAGGCCTCTGCCTTCGGCTCAGGTCATGATCTCAGGGTTCTGGGATCGAGCCCCGCATCGGGCTCTCTGCTCGGCAGGGAGCCTGCTTCCTCCTCTCTCTCTGCCTGCCTCTCTGCGTACTTGTGATCTCTATCTGTCAAATAAATAAATAAAATCTTTAAAAAAAAAATAAATAAAATTATATGATTAATTGAAATTATAAAGGCTTGGAATTTTGGAGGAAGGGCAGGAAGGCCCTGTGGTTAGTGGAATAAGCACACGTACGGGAGGTGAAGTGAGAGGTAGGCTGGCCATACTGCGTAGAGCCTTACAGGCCATGCGCAGTTTCGGGTGTGTTTGTGTGTCTCAGATAAGTGTCCACATTTGTTCAGATATGTATTAGAGATACATAGGGAAAAATCTGAAGGGTTACGTAACAAATTAGTAATAACTGTTTCTCTGGAAAGAGGGAGGAGGCTAGGATTGGGGTTGTGGTCAGATTTTACCTTTATATGTAAATATTTGGTAATGGGGGATATAACCATTGCTGTTTGTGGAATTCAGACTTAATTAAAAGAGGTGGGCGGCAATGACCAGAGGAGGTTTGAAGCAGGGTCAGTCCTTGAGGCCTGAAGCTGTGCAGCCCCAGGGAGGCAGTTCTAAGCCCTAGGACTCAAAAAAGAAGAAAGTTGGAGAGCTGGGGATCCAGTCCAGCTCTTAAGTTCTTAGCAGGACATTCCTGAGCATTAATAACTTGCAGCCACAATGTGATAAACTGAAAGTGGAGAGAATATGAACCAAGGACTTCTAAAATAATAAAGTAATCCTAAAACTAGTAGTGCTTTCTTCATTAAAATTCGTAAGACTTCCTAATCTTGCAGTATACACGGTTGAATTGGGGTCAGTGTTGTCAGTTGGCTGTGTCACCATCGGACTCCTATGACATGATATTTGCCTGTGCGAAGACTATCAAACATTGTGGATTTAACTTATAAGTGTTAACACTAAGAGATGTAGGTAGTGGCTGAAGAATTTTATTCATTTTCTTGTTTATTTACATGGTCTTCTAAAATTTAAGCTTAGTGCATATAGCATGTAAAATTTATAAGAAATGTGTGTGTGTTTTAGTGTTTCTTAAGAGGTTTTAAAGTTTCAAGAAGGTTTATATTTTTATTCTTAAAGATTTTATTTTTAAGTGATCTCTAGATTTTTATAAGTAATTTTTATAAGTTTATAAAATTTATAAGAACTTTGTGTGTGTTTTTGTGACGTAAGAGGGTTTTAAAGTTTCAAGAACCCTTAAGTAATCTCTACACCTAACGTGGGAAAAGTTTCAAGAACTTTTAAATGGCTGAACTGAGTATGAAAACACTTGAAAGAGTTGATGAAACTGTGATGAAAGATTAAAAGAACCAGATAGAAATGAGGCCCTTTCTATTTAATGCTTAGAGAACTCTGAAGTGCCTGATACCGCTCTAAGCACTTTATATGTTTTAACTCATTTAATACTATGCTGACAAAGACTACACTGGTTAAAAAGGATCAAGAATGAGAAGAACTAAGATAGTCTAACAGGAGTTCTGAGTAATGAGAAAAGAACGTAATACAGGGACTGCGTTCGTAGTGTGAGCACTGGTGTTAACTGGGTACTTTGTCGTCACAGGTATACTCTTACTCATTTTCCTCAACTGTGTTTTTTTCAAATATGTTTATTCAAAGCTTGCTGTTAAGTTTTCCCTTTTCAGTGACATTCAACAAAGTAGAGATAGACTTCCAGCCAAATCTTATCTTCTAAAACTTGAGTTTCATAATCAGTTTTTAAGCGGTTGTACATTTGACCCTGGTAAATGTTGTATCTGAGAAAAATGATGTTACTAATGTTGGGAACTACGTAATAAATGATGAAACATGTGAATATGTGTGTTAATATGCTAGTCGAGGCCACTGAAATTAGCTGGAATAGCTTGGTTGTGCTCTTTTGATGACAGGTTCCACCGGTGACAACAGTCGGCGGTTCTGGGAACAGTCACTGTTCTGTCGTGCTGTACTGGATTTGAAGTAGAGGGAAGGGGGAAGAGGATATTAAGCAAAACACGAAATGCTGACTGAAGACATCTTAGCTAAAACAGTCTATTCCAGATACCAGCAACACCCATATATTTTTTTGTCCAGCACTCCTGAAGTTATGTATTTTAGGGTTTTTCTCCAGTGTATCTCCTAAAAGAAATTCTTGTAGGATATAAAGATAGTTTACTTGGTTTAAAATGTTTGTGTGTGTATGAGTTTGCATATACTTTTTACAGTATCTTTAAACAACTTTTTGCCTTATTTTCCTAGGGAGTTGGTCTCTCAGTTCATGGGCGATTCCGAGTGGCTACTGAAAAGTCTCTTTTTGCGATGCCAGAAACAGCAATAGGTAAAACCCCCAATTTTTCATAATTAATTTTAGAATTATCTTTGGATGCATTTCAGATTACACTGTTGTTAAAGGAATTGATGGAATCTTACTGAGATATAGCAATGAAAGAATCCTTAAAAAGAAATTAGGAAGATACCTGAAAGTTATATTAACTTAGTAGTCGTATCCAGAAACACAAAAGAAAAGAATATTTAACTGGCAGCACTAACACACTGGTTGTTAGGAGAAAATGGTCTTGTTTTCAAATCTACAATCCATTTTGATTTTTTTTTTTTTTTTTTTGAGAGAGAGTGTGCCAGAGGTGCGGAGGTGGCGGGGCAGAGGGAGAGAGAATCCCAAGCAGGCTTCACGCTCAGTTCGATCTCACATCCCTGAGACCATGACCTGAGCAAAATCAGTAGTTGGACACTTAACCTACTGAGCCACCTAAGTGCCCCCATTTTGAAATTTTTGTGCATGCTGTTAAATACGGATCAAAGATATAGATCAAATTTTATGATTCTGCACATAGAGATACAGGCATTCACACACTACATTTTGAAAAGCTGTTGTTTCTCCACTGATGGCTTTTGTACCTTGGTATGTGTTATATTGGTGCCAACACTGCAGTCTTGATTACTATTGCTTAATAGTAGAAATCAGGTAGCGATAATTCTCCCATTTTGTTGTTTCCCACAAGTTGTTTTAGCTATAAAGATCCTTTGTATTTCAATATGAATTTCTGAGTCAGTTTGTCAATTTCAACTTAAAAAGCCTGCTAGGATTTCGATTAGGATTGTCTAAAATTTAAGGAGAATTGACAACAATATAGAATCTTCAACCTGAGAGCAAGGTATATCTCCCATTTATTTAGGTCTTCTTTAATATCTCTAAGCCAAGTTTTGTAGTTTATAGGTCTTACATACCCTTTGTCAGATTTTTCCTTAACTATTTCATATTGTTTGTTACTATTTTAAAAAATCATTTCTGACTTTTAGTTACCAGTATAGAGAAATACCACTTATTTTTTTAATGAAGCATAATTGACGTACAGTATCTTAGTTTAAGGTGTACATCATAGTGATTCTATACTTTTATACATCACAGAATGATTCCCACAAGAAGTCTAGAGCCAACTGTCACCATACAAAGTTATTATATTGTTGACTATATTTCCTACACTGTAGATTTTATCTCCGTGACTTACTTATTTTGTAAGTTTAAGTTTGTACTACTTAATCTCCTTTGTCTGTTTTGCTTGCCCCCAATCCATCCCCATTGTGTTAACCGAAAGTTTGTTTCCTATATTTCTGTTTTGTTTTGTTTTTTAGATTCTACACATAAATGAAATCACATGGTATTTGTCCTTCTCTGATTTATTTCACTTAGCATAATACCTCTAGCTCTATCCATACTATTACAAATGGCAAGAGTTCATTCCTTTTTTTGTGGCAAAGTAATATTCCATTGTATGTGCATGTGTACCACATCTTTTTTATCCCTTCTTCTGTTGATGGACACTTTGGTTGCTTCCATGTCTTGGCTAATGCTGCAGTGAACAAAGCGGCAAATATATTTCCCTAAATTGGTATTTTTATATTTTTTCTGATATCTACCCAGAAGCGGAATAGCTGGATTATGTGGTAGTTCTGTTTTTAATTTTTTGAGGAATCCCAATACTTTCCACAGTGGCTGCACCAATTTCTATTCCCATCAGCAGTACATGAGGGTTCCCTTTTATCCTCATCCTTACCAACAGTAGTTTTTGGCTTTTTTGAGGATAGCCAATCTGACAGGTGTGAGGTGGTATCTCATTGTGGTTTTCTTATAAAATTTTATTTCACTTTTTAAATTAAGTTTTTATTTTAATTCCAATAAAGTTAATGTACAATGTTATATTAGTTTCAGGTGTATCATATATTGATTTAATACTTCTATACATCACCCAGTATTTCAGTACTCAGCACAAGTAGCCTCCTAAATCCATCCCTAAAACCCACCCATTATTTTATACATCCCCCATCCACCTCCTCTCTGGTAACCACCAGTTTGTTCTCTGTAGTTGAGTCTGTTTCTTGGTTTGTCTCTCTCTCTCTCTCTCTCTTTTTCCTTTGCCCATTTGTTTTTTAAATTCTATATATGAGAGAAAACATATGGTACTTGTCTGTGACTCACTTATTTTGCTTAGCATTATACTCTCTAGCTCCATCCATGTCATTACAAATGGCAAGATTTCATTCTTTTTTATGGCTGAATATTCCTCTATGTGTGTGTGTATGTGTGTGTGTGTGTGTGTGTCAGTGATCTCTCTATCCGTTCATCTGTCAGTGGACACTTGGGCTGCTTCCACTATTTGACTGTTGTAAATAATGCTGCCATAAATATAGGGGTACATATATCCCATCAAATTAGTGTTTTTGTATTTTGGGGGGTAAATACCCAGTAGTACAAATACTGGATTATAGGACAATTCTATTTTTAACTTTTTGAGGAACCCCCATACTGTTTTCCACAGTAGCTGTACCAGTTTGCATTCCTACCAACAGTGCAAGAGGGTTCCTTTTTCTCTACATTCTTGCCAACACTTGTTTCTTGTATTTTTGATTTTAACCATTCTGTGGGGTGGTATCTCATTGTAGTTTTGATTTGTACTTCCCTGATGATGAGTGATGTCAAGCATCTTTTCATGTGTCTGTTGGCCACCTGGATGTCTTCTTTGGAGAAATGTCTGTTCATGTCTTCCCATTTTTAATTGGATTATTTATTTTTTGGGGTGTTGAGTTGTATAAGTTCTTCATATATTTTGGGTACTAATCCCTCATCACATATGTCATTTGCAAATATCCTCTCTCATTCAGTAGGTTGCCTGTTAGTTTTGTTGATTATTTAAATGTCTTCTCCCATTTAGTAGGTTTCTTTCAGTTTTGTTGTTTCCTTCACTGTGCAGAAGCTTTTTATTTTGATGTAGTTCCAATAGTTTAATTTTTGCTTTTATTTCCCCTGCCTCAGGAGATATATCTAGAACAATGTTGTTATGGCTGATGCCAGAGAAATTACTGCCTATGCTCTCTTGTAGGATTTTTATGGTTTCAGGTCTCACATTTAGGTCCTTAATCCATTTTGAGTTTACTTTTGTGTGTGGTGTAAGAAAGTGGTCCTGTTTTGTTCTTCTGTGTGTTGCTGTCCAGTTTTCCTAATGCCACTTATTACAGAGACTGTCTTTTCCCCATTGTATTTTTTCCTTCATTCTTGTAGATAAATTGACCATTTATGTGTGGTTTTATTTCTGAGCTCTCTATTCTATTGCATTGATCTATGTGTCTGTTGTTGTGTGAGTACCATACTGTTTTAATTTGTATAGTTTTGTAGTACAGTTTGAAATCAAAGAGCATGATACAGCTTGTTGAATTATATGGATGTTGAATTATATGATACAATTATATGATACAATTATCTTACGGAGTTTCTGTCTTATGTGACTTTGTCTTTCTCTTGCTGCTTTTAAGGTTCTTTTTTTTTTAAGTTTTGCTACTTTTAATTATTATGTCTTGGTGTGGGTCTCTTTGGGTTCATCTTGTTTGGGACTTTCTTTGATTCTAGGACCTGGATGTCTGTTTCCTTTCCTGGGTTAGGGAAGTTTTCGGCCATTATTTCCTCAAATAAGTTTTCTGCCCCTTTCTCTCTCTTCTCCTAGGGCCCCTATAATGTAAATAATATGTACACTTGATGTTTTCATCTCTAAAGCTCCCCTCAATTTTTTAAAATTATTTTTTCTTTTTGTTGTTCTGATTAGGTAATTTCTACTATTCTATCTGCCAAATGCTGATTTATCCTTCTGTATCATTTCAGTTATTTTTCACCTCTGGTTCTTGTATTTTCTCTTTGTTGAATTTCCTTCATTCTTAAGTGCAGTGAGCATCTTTACAACTAATACTTTGAAATCTTCATCAGGTGCTTTACCTGATAAATTACTTATCTCTGTTTCCTTAAGGTTTCCCCACACCCCCCCCCCCCCAGGGTTTTTTCTTCTTTGTTTGGAACATCTTCCTCGGTCTCCTCATTTTGTTTGACTTTCTGTATTTGTTTCTGTGCATCAGAATAGCTACCAACTCTCTCAGTCTTGGAGGCGTGACCTTGAGCAGGAGCATCCTCTGTGTAGACTGGTAAGCCTGGCAGCATTGGCTAGTTGGAGCTGGAGCAGGGCTGGGCTAAGAGTGTGCTGCTCTGGGATTACCTTGACAGGACACCTGTGGCTGGGGTGGGTACCTTCAGCAGACAGCTAGAATGTGTGTGGGCTAGGGATCTGAGACTTGCTAGGGCAGTCCTAGTAGGTTGGCTAGAGTGCCCAGGCCCTGCTCCTGTCTGCACTGTGAAGGTGGATTGGTGGCGGGGGCGAGGGAGGGTGGAATGTAAAATATGGTGCTTGTTGACACCTCTGACCCCAGAGAGTTCCAGCAGTTCCCTGCCCATTTGGTGGATGCTGTAGGGTTAGTAAGTAGATTTTCGTCACTTACATTCTAACTGCTCTTTAAACAGCTGTGTTTGTTTCATTTTTTTTTTTCCTCCACTGTGGGTGAGTTTGTGCAGGGGCCCCTCACTGATGTCCCTCCTTACCATAAGGCATTACATTGGGAATGGTTTCCTGTGGTTACTGTCTGTATCTCTGTCTCTCCTGCTGTTGTATATGAGGTTCCCCCATAATTTTTTTGTGCAGAAGCTGTTCAGTTAGTTCTTTTTCAACAGGAATTGCTCTACATATAGATGTAGATTGACTTTGTCTGTGGAAGAAGGTGAATTCAGGATCTTCCTAAGCTACCATCTTGGACTAACACCTGAAGTACAATTGATTGTGTATTGACTTTGTGGGCCTACAAACTTCCTAACTCATTTATTAGTTCTGGTAGATTTTTTTTGTAGATTGTATTATATTTTTTATATAAATAATTACATCATTTACAAATAAAGTCACTTCTACATTTTCCTTTCCAATCTGGATACTCTTTATTTTCCTTGCCTTA